CAACACAGAATGGATGCTATCTGCTAGGATTATACCCATCCAGAAATTTAGAAGGTGGAGAATGACATTCAAAGCCCTCTGCCACTGTTCAGTGCCAACCTAACGCCTTCTGAACACTCTCTGTATTGGCTAGAGTCACAGCTGCCTTCATGGAGCCCTTCAGTTGCGGCGCAGAAACAATTTGGTATGCTACAGCCAAGGTCTGCAATACCACCTTTGCACGCATCATGTATCTCTGTCCCTATGCTGCATCAGCTATACTGCCTGAATCCACCGCATGTGTTCTCTCTGTTAGTCAGAGGCCTTCCTCAAGAAACAGGACAATCTTCCAAGGGAAAAATCAACCTTCACAGCACCAGACGACTAAACTGCCTTGAAGTCAACGCTGCCTATTTCCTGCTACAGAAGGTTACAAAGCCTCTTCCTGATAAACAAGGCTCATGTAGGCATTTCAGCTGGGTCCTGAATTCCTGCAGGAAGGAGGCTGTGTGCACTCTAGTTGGCTGGCTAAAACGTTGAGACCTTCAGCATGCCCTGCACTGTGGAAAACAAAACAGCACAATTTGTGCAAGAACTCAGAAAAGCCACTTTAGGTGGAGAGGAAGCTTCAGACCCTGATGTAACTAGCCCAGCCGCACCACCACCTACAGGTTTGGCTTCTGGGATGAGAGGCGCGTACACAGTGCCATCGGCACATCAGTAGTTCAGGTTTAGTACAGTAACAGCTCTAAACAGAGCACATTGCCCTGCTCGGCTAAAACCTATAGTTTATGTTCCCAGCATCTTCAAATACTACTCCTATCTCCCCTGATAGAGACTCAGTACCCATATTCTCAAAAACCACAGTGCTCCCCGTCCTCTCATCCACAAATAAAACAAACGGTGTTTCCCGCTCTCTCACTGACATCACTTGTCCCAATCCCCTGCAATTCTTCTGATCCTGCTACCCATCCTGTATCTATAAGATTATCACAGAGCAAACAGTTTTAATTCCAGGGGTCGGGCACCCTTAACTTTAGGTCTGATAGACCTCTGTTAGGTCTATCAGAAAACTCTTCCAAGCCTGCACACTCCTCAGGTGGCTCCTGCCTTCATCTATGTCCCCTTCAGACTTCTTGTCTGGTGTTAAGTTACACTATTTGTACGATGAAAAACTTGGACTCTCATCTCCTCCTTGCCTGGAGGGGCTGAGTAGACTGGCAAACAGGTGTAGCTTTAGGAATAAATGCAGAGGCTAGGATTCGACAGATCTCTGCAAGAGGCAGCAGAGTACTTCATTTGAAAAAAGATTCACAGCTTTAAATGAAATAAAAAAATCCAAAGTGTCCAGCTAACACACAGTCACCAAAAAAAAAAAAGGAAAAAAAAAAGGAAAAAAAAAAGGGGTGTTCCTAATTCACTGGAGGTATTCCCCTTTGCCTAGTGGATTAAATACAGCTACATCTTGCTTTCAGGACACCTTGTGAAACTGGTTCAAAACCTGCCATCTCTCTGCCTAGCTGGTGTCTTAGGGATGATTCTGCACCATAAATTTTGCAGGGGACCCCTCACACATCCATTCCTCTTCAACAGCAACTTCTGATAACCCACAGCCATCCATTTCACTCTTGTAGCATCCTGATCCTAGCCTCAAAAGCAGCATATGGGGAGTGACAACCAGGCCATCAGTCCTTGCTGGGCAGTTTCTGAAGAGACAGAATACACAATCTTTTTACGATATTCAACCCCACAATGCAAAATTCTCAAACTTTTTTTTTTTAAACTCAAATTTGGATGTATGCATCTGCACAAGTACATAGGGAAGAGCTCTGGATAGACCTACACACCAGTCTTTGATTAACATTGCTGCATTTGCAGGGGATTGCAGGGCTGTGAACTCATATCTAAAGACCTGTGCCACCCTACAGCAGTTTGTAGATTTGATAGCAGGGGCAGCAGATAAAGAAGAGGAGGCATCTGTTTTACGAGGGACAGCTGACTTTCTGCTGTGGCTTTGTCACCTCTCCGAATGGCAAATTAATCACATACTTTGTGCTCCTTCAAATTGCAACTGATCAGTGTGTGGTAAGAGCCCTGAGAAAGGGGGCAATGAACAGGATCCTGTTGCAGCCAGCACGCACTGCTGGCTATCGATGGATAGGGTCAACCGCTTTCAGTAAGGCACTTGTGCAATAGTTGTTACTGCCATCATTCGTCATGGATCCCTAATTAGGATTTGTTAGTACAGCGGCAGGAAATAAAAACAGGGCATGGAATAATGACAGTTCAAAGTTAGTCTGGACTCAGCCCCCTCCCTCAGAGGACAGAGCCTTTGCAAGCACACTTCTTGCTGAGGTCTGCCGATTTTCACACAACATCCCTTCCCCAAGCACAGCCCAACATTGCAGCCACAGAGCAAAATCAAAGTCAGATTCCCACCAAAAGAGTGTGGAAAGTTCCTCACATAATGCTGCTGATGGTTTTGGAATAGAAGGAATTGACAATAGTATGGAGAAGAGGAGCTGAGAAGCCAAGTTCTCAGCCTTCACAGGGACTCTATAGCTGAAAATATGTGGCAGCCTAGCACCATGAGAAAACATTTTCACCTGCACCAGAATAATGAGAGGCATCTGTGGGCCTCGTGCAATAACTGAGAAAGAACAAGGCAAAAATACACCAATCACCTCAGCAGGAAAACAGGGACGTTGCCCCTCACCTATAACAGAGGTTAAGAGTCTGTTAAAACTGTTTGCTAATCGGATTATTACACTAACTCCTAGATGTGGCGATTTATGGATTTGATCAGTGGAAGTTCCCAAGTGCAAAGTCTGTAAGGTCTGTTGCTACATCACAAAGGAACAGCCTACCTGAAAGGAGCAAAGAAAGTGACAAGGAAAAAAATGGGGAAATTTACATTTTAGGTAACAGAAAGAGACAGGCTTGTAATCAAGCATCTTAACACTGAAAACTAATGATAACAAGCAAATCTCAGTTCCAAGTTGTTGAAGGCTAAGTGCATTTCTGTGGTGAAAGGTCCTGTTATTCCTTGGTACCTGCTGTCGGTGACCTTGGTACTGGGCTATAAGAACCTTTGAGAAGCACAAACCCAGGCAGTAGGGCTATGGCCTTGGACTTTTAAAGTGGGCTTTGATTTGCAGCAACACCAACTTTAGGAAGGCAGTGCTCCACTGCAACCAACATCAGTGATTTTAACTCAGTTGCCTCTAGGCACCATTATACCCATGACACTGCCCGTAGGGCCAAAAGACAGGTTTCTTGAGGGTAGCTTGGCAAGTCTCCTACCAGCTATCAAACTAGCCGCCAAATTCTGAAGAGCAGGCCCCTTTTACCTTTGATCCCAAAATTCCCTACAGACAGTCACAAGCTTTGGGAGCCCAAACTATTGCTTTGGGCTACACAAAATCGCTGTAGTCCCCCCTGCCCATTCAAGCCCTCCTAACGCCCAAGCTTCCTGCTGCACAGGCCCTCCACAGCATACCTCCCCCTCAAAGTCCTTGCACCCCCTTGCCACTCCGGGCTCCTTGCCCCTCACTAGTTCCGGCTCAGCGGCCACCACAGAAAAGACACACCCCGGGACCGAGAGCGGCAGAAGGGAGGGAGACAGAGCA